TTCTCCTCTCAGGATCTTGGGCACACATGAACATGTGCCTGGTGTGAGTTTAAGCCACCAGGTCCAGGACTCGAACTGCAGTCAACTACATGGGAGTCCAGCGACATAGCCATTACACCAACTGTTGGTCTCTGTATTTTTTAGAGAGATTTTTGGCACATACACTCACTAGAGAGACAGAAAGGGAAAAATCAGCCCCCAGAGGATGGCCATGCTGCAATCCCTTCTCCTCTCAGAATCTTGGGCACTCGAACAATGTTTGACCACATGGGAGTCCCATGTGCCACTGTTTTTTTGCATAGGGGAGAAAGGGGGAGGAATCACCACATGAAGCAACTCCCGTTTTCCACACATTGCACAAGGTCCACTCATTCTGGTTGGTAGCCACACCACTCTTCTTCCCCCTGCCTTCTGCTGAAAGGCAGAGACGCTGCCAGGTGAAGATGGAATCAACTGAAGCCCAAGGTTACTCATATTCCCCCCTCTGGTGTTGCAATTACAGCTGAGGCTGTGCGAAGTGCGTTTGGGGAGGACTGAAACGAACAAGACCACCAAGGTCTCTCATGGCATTAAATTTCTATGAAATCTTATCTGTACTGGGATTCAGGGAATATGCAAAGTGCTTTTGCAATGTTTTGAACATAGGGTTCTTTGACTTGGGAAAGAGGTTATTTATTTAAGACAGTGGTTTTCAAACTTTTCATAAAGAGCAGACCACTTTTGTTTGTACATGAAATCTTACATGGAACCTGACTACACCGAACGGACACAGGTGGTGTTCCTCTGGCTGCACAGAGGGGAGGGGACAGGGGCTAGGTTTGCTCAGCTTCCTCCTTGCCCTTCCAAGGAGCCCCTGACATCTCCGAGAAACAAAACTGGCTTAAAGGGAAAGGAAGTTAACGTTCAGACAAACAAATGAATGAATGGAAAAGGGAAAGCTTTTCCTCAACGTGGAAGAAAATCACTTCTTTGTAATCATCCTAATAAACTCATCAAAGGATGCTAAATCCAGGGGAGCAGTGTGATAAGAAGCAGGGTACTAGGGCCAGTAGGTGGCACGGTGGTTAAGGAACTGGACTCCCACATGGCTGACTGCCGTTTGAGTCCAAGACCTGGTGGCTTGCTTT